GTGGTCTGGTGGCCAGTTTTCAACTGAACAACCAATTGAAAAAGGACCCTTCCCGGCCATCCTCAGTCTGGTGAAAATGAGCGTGTGAGGGTGGGGAGGGCAAGCAATGGAGGGAAGGGGTGGAGTGAGTTGGGCGTGGCCTCAAAAAAGGGGCGGGGCAAGGGTGTTTTTCAAGACCATCAATAAAAGACAAAAGCCCCACTCAGACACCATCTAGACTCCACAGTTTTAGGAAGGAATTCTGCTTCAGCTGCTGTCTCCATGCTGGGCTGATCCCCAACCTCCCACAGCAGACTCACTGATCTTGTGCCCACTAAAGTCCTTGCGCGCTTGACCATGACTTCCCTTGTGTCGGGCTCAGGCTCACAGTGAGTAGGCAATGGGGAGTGCTACAAAGAAACGTCTTCTTGCTATTTTGGGCCAGGACCTGACCAGGAGAGTGCTGAGGTGGAATATACTGAAGTTGAAGTGTCAACGCCTGATCCTTGCAGAGGTAATTAGTTGGCTGACTTATATAGTTATGAAGTGGGAGTCATTTCAGACCTGCTCTTTCTGCCATTGATTTCACTGGGAGCTGGAGTAGGTCCTGTTGTGTGTGGAGGGTAGTTCCCTGGTAATAGCTCTCAGTGATGCAGGGACTATTGTGATATCAGCAGGACTGCAGTTACCAGAGCCAGCCAGGCCTTTCCCTTTCCTCCCTGGTTCTCTTGTGCACATGCCCTACCCTGCCATGTAAGATCTTTGGCTAGGCAGCTGGGATCTGAGCAGAAAGCAGCCTGCTGTGGCTCATACCCACTAAGGGGTACTTTAATTTTTTCTTTTAGGAGATAGAGCATAGGAACTGGGATTAGTCCCGTAGGGCCTGAGGGGAGCTGGAGAGTGTCCTATGGCCTACAGGAAAACAGAGACCTGGCCTACGCCTAAAACCTATGTCAACTGAACTCTGTAGACACAGCTTCTGCCTCTTGAGGGGATTTACTGTGATAGAAAACGGTAAATTTGTGGTGGTGGTAGCATTTAGGTGACAGTGCTGCTGTCACACGTGTAGTGCAGAGGTACCCAGGGAGAATGCAGGGAAGTGGAAATGTTGGTTGCCCTGGTAACAGCAGCTTCCTGCTGTCTGTGGTATTCATTCAGAAGGATTAGTTGGGCTAAAGGAGTGAACGTAATCCAGTCCCTGTTAAACAAGGTCTGGTGCTTGGTACCCAGAGACCTCAGCCAGTTAATGCCCTGGCAAACACACCAGTAAAAACTCTTCTGTATCTGAAAGAGACGGAAAAGAAGGAAAGCCAGTTCAAGCGTTTGACATGTCAAGTATTACATAGGGCTTTCATTGGAACAACATCCCTTGTTCCTTTTCCATTTAGCTGTAGATCAGGGGTGGGCAATAATTTTTTGCCAGGGGTCACTTTGGAAATTTTTGAAGTGTCCCTGGGCTGCACATGAAGGGGCGGGACATGAAGCAGGAGAGGCGGAGCGTCAAGCGAACGGGGCGGGGCCAAGATACTTCTGGGTTCCCCGCTCCCAGACAATAATTGGTCTGGGGGTGTGGGAGTGCCGTTGCCCGCCCGCACGTTCCCCCTAGGTGTCCATGCCCCTGGCATGGGAGGAGGCTTCCTGTGCTCCTCTGCCCCTAGATCAAATAGGGCCGGGGGGCAGGGGAGCACGCGAAGCCTTCTCCGCTTTGCCCCCGCCCTGCAAGCAGCACGCTGCGCTTCAAAGTGCCGTATGCTCCTGACTGGACGGGAGGAGGCTTCCTGCACTTCGCGCACCTAATTGGCCTGGAGGCGGGGGAGCAGCAGGGTCTGTGCAGGCTGGATCAACCCGCTTGGCGGGCCGGATCCAGCTCACAGAGGCCCTTTTGCCCACCCCTGCTGTAGATGGTTTTTTAGAAGGAAGCCCATCTCTCCCCTCCCCTGCCATCTGAACGTCTCTTAAATAGTAATAACCATCACCCCAGGAGGTGGTAATTCAGATTCAGCTGGAACTGATGTGGTGGGATCAGACCTGTTGACAGGAGGGGCGAGGGGAAGGGGGCAACTTCCCCAGTGCCCAGTGATTCAAAAGGGTCCAGGGCTCTGGCTGGGTCCTTTAAATCACCACCGGCACGCTGGGTGGTGCACTCTGCACAGTGCTAAGGTGGGGGAGGGGCGCGGTGAGGTCTGGCCAGCACCGAGGGCTGGGCTGCTCCAGCCCCGTCCCTTCTGGGAGTATTGAACTGCTCCCCTTGCCCAGGGGTAGGGTTGCCAGTTTCAAAGCCGACAGTCCGGTATTTGAGGATTCTGTCCGGGGAACAAATTGAGAAAATACCGGACATGTAAAATGTCCGGTATTTTCTAATTAGGTAAGTTGATTATTATTAGGCGTATCAGTATGTAGTTGTGAACTGTCTGGCTGGTAGACATGCTCACACTGCGTGAGTGTGTCTACCAGCCAGGCAGCACGCAACTACACAAGGGGGGGCGGGGCCGGTGCAGGAGGGAATCCCTGGGGCCGGACTCGCTCATACTTTTATGGGTCTGTATGTGGGACGGGGAACACCCCGGAATCTGTGTGCACCTGGGTAAGTCCTGCTCCCCACCTGCTGGTTTTCCCCCCCCCCCAGCCAGCTTCGCTCCCCCCGACCCCCTCCCGGCTAGCCCTGCTTCCCGTCAGCCAGTTCCCCCCCTCATCTTCCACGGCCAGCCCCGCTATCCCCGCCCCCGCCCCCCAGCCTTGCTTCCCGCTGGCCATTCCCCCCGCCCCCGCATCTCCTCCCGGCCGGTCCCCCCCTCCCCATCTGAGATCAAGTGTGGTTTTTTTGAAGCCACCTGGTAACCCTACCAGGGGCCTGGCAATTCTGTTGACCCCCCTTGGTTGGAATGGTCTGGTGTGGTTAACGCCTCTCAGGATCAAGATGGTGAATGCCTGGGATAGCAGGAAATGTGGGCATAGGAATCTTGATGGTGAAGCTCACTTTAGTAGCCTCTGTCTTTACTTCTTCTGTTCTTCCTTTATTCCTTCATACTCTCCCCTCCAAATATTTCTTGTTAGAGCCCTAGAAAGGCTTTGGTAGGAGGAATAGCCCATTCCTTCCACTATATTGGCTTCATATCCAATATATTAATTTTGGCTCATTAATTTCCAGCTCCTCTTTTCCAGTGTTTTTAACCAGCATAATTTCAATACAGTCCATGAATGACATCAGGAGGCCTTTTTAATTAAAGTAACTCAATTCATCTGTCACCCCTTTGCATCTTTTTCCATCGACATTTGTTGGTATAGGTTATTGTAATATCTTATGAACTTTTATATACATAAATCTGAGCTCACAAATTGGGAAAATTTGTAGGCCTCATTGTTACATGTCTTAATAGTTCCAAGGTACAGCACTTAGCATAGCAGATCCATAACCAGAACTCCCACACATGAGTGTAATACAAGTAATAATAATGGCAGTAGCCAGACCTCTTAGCCTGGTGTTAGTGCATCTTCCTCGTAGCCTTTCAGGTAATCTGCTTGCTGGACCCTGTTCCCAATGATGGCATGTACAACTCAGTCTTTTTACCTCACCCAAAAAATCATGGGATCCTCAGACTCCTTGTGCAGAAAGTGGGCAAATTGTTCAGAACACACACAAAAGTCCAAGCCGTTAGGAATAAATGCAATCCTTTGGGGACATTAAATCACATCTCAGCACTCAACTTTAGCTTGACAAGCTGAAAAGCCAAAGGAAGAAAATCACAAACTTGCTCTTTCCAGCTACCAAAGTACACCGGTTTATTTCTGTGCTGAAGACATTCTTGTTTCATTAGGGCTGTGTCTACACTGGGCCACTTATTCCGGAAAATCAGCCGCTTTTCCGGAATAACTTGCCAGCTGTCTACACTGGCCGCTTGCTTTTCTGGAAAAGCAATGACGATCTACTGTAAAATTGTCAGTGTTTTTCTGGAAAAACTATGCTGCTCCTGTTCGGGCAAAAGTCCTTTTCTGGAAAAACTGTTACGGAAAAGGGCCAGTGTAGACAGCACAGTAGTCTTTTCTGCAAAAAAGCCCCAATTGCGAAAATGACGATCGGGGCTTTTTCGTGGAAAAGCGCGTCTACATTGGCCACGGACGCTTTTCCGGAAAAAGTGCTTTTCCAGAAAAGCATCCTGCCAATGTAGACGTGCTTTTTCCGGAAATACTTATAACGGAAAACTGTTCCGTTTTAAGCATTTCCGGAAAAGAGTGCCAGTGTAGACGTAGCCTAGCTGTATAAAGGGTTGTTTGTACAAATGTATTGCTTCTGAGCCTGGCAGCAAGACGGCTAGTGTCTCAGAGCAGTGATTCATTGTAATTCTCTTCTTGGGGCTCTCTGGCTGCATTCGAAGCAGGTAACCTATTTACCATTGCTAAATGGTGCCCTTAGATATTGGGACCACTGTATTGTATCTTAAAGGATTAATAACAGTTATGTCTACAGTTACATGTTTCACACACTTCTAGTCATTCCCCGGGCAGTACAAAGGCGTGGAATGTTATAAGAAATACTTTCTATCAGATGAAATGTTAACCTAAGATTTTTGTCAGGTACAAGTTAAAGATTCCAAGCCTCTGTTTCTCTGGAGGTGGGTGACAGGGGAGGGATCACGTGAGGATTACCTGTTGTGTTCCCTCTCTCTGGGGCATCAGGTATCGGCCACTGTTGGCAGACAGGATACTGGGCTGGATGGACCAGTATGGCCGTTCTTATGTTCTTAACCCCTAAAAGAGCAGGGGATAACCTTTACATCCCTCTCTCAATAATATTTCCCTAATACCTAGGCTCAGTGTAAGGTCCAGTCTATACTATACAAAATGCCTTATTACTTTGATTTAGTTAAATACAGTAGTGCACTGACATTTTAAAAAGATCCTCTTTTAAATAGTACTGGAGCATGTTTTAACTACGTGATACTGTTTCAAAAAAACAACAAATGGTCTGGTAGCACTTTATAGACTATAAAACATGTCGATGGTATAAAGTGCTATAAAGTGCTACCAGACCATTTGTTGTTTTTTTCCGTAACAGAAGAACTCGGCTATCCCCTGAAGATACTGTTTCAAGTTAGCCTTGGGCTATACAGATCTGTATCATGGTTCGGGAATCTGAGTAAAGCAGGGTTTGGTCCTTTCTGTCCTGCTGTACTAAGCCATGCAACTCTGCATGCTTACACTCCTTACACTGTTGCAGCTTCTGCAGTGTAGACAAGACAAAAACTACCACTTAGCATGTAAGTGCATGTGTAACTCAGACACCTTCTGGGTATGGTGTACTGTATCATCTAGCTAGTGACGCTGAGACCACTAACAGAGAGAATGAGTCTAATCTGCAGCCTTAGCTAACAGCCTGCTGGTTTTTAGCTCATATGTTAAAGGCTCGTTCACTAAGTTCCAGAGGTCCCAGGTTCAATTCTGCCTGCAGACAACTGGGGTCTGCTGGGGTTGTATGTGATCATTGCACTACCAGTATCCACTGTGTTATTGGGCCAA